CTGAAAACAGAGAGACGTACATGAGCTGGGGTCCATTTAGAAACAACACTTCTACAGAGCGAATATTAAAGGTCACCTATTATGCAAAATCCACTTTTTCCACGTCTCTTCTACATCAGCATGTGTCCCCTCTTCTTCATGTCTCTTCTTCATCAACATGTGTCCCCTCTTCTTCATGTCTCTTCTACATCAACATGTGTCCCCTCTTCTCCATGTCTCTTCTACATCAACATGTGTCCCCTCTTCTCTCATGTCTCTTCTTCATCAACATGTGTCCCCTCTTCTCCATGTCTCTTCTACATCAACATGTGTCCCCTCTTCTCTCATGTCTCTTCTACATCAACATGTGTCCCCTCTTCTTCTGTCTCTTCTACATCAACATGTGTCCCCTCTTCTTCATGTCTCTTCTCTCTTCCATCAACATGTGTCCCCTCTTCTTCATGTCTCTTCTACATCCTACATCAACATGTGTCCCCTCTTCTTCTGTCTCTTCTACATCAACATGTGTCCCCTCTTCTCATGTCTCTTCTACATCAACATGTGTCCCCTCTTCTTCATGTCTCTTCTACATCAACATGTGTCCCCTCTTCTTCATGTCTCTTCTACATCAACATGTGTCCCTCTTCTTCATGTCTCTTCACATCAACATGTGTCCCCTCTTCTCCATGTCTCTTCTACATCAACATGTGTCCCCTCTTCTTCATGTCTCTTCTACATCAACATGTGTCCCCTCTTCTTCATGTCTCGTCTACATCAACATGTGTCCCCTCTTCTTCATGTCTCTTCTACATCAACATGTGTCCCCTCTTCTTCATGTCTCTTCTACATCAACATTGGTCCCCTCTTCTTCATGTCTCTTCTACATCAACATGTGTCCCCTCTTCTTCATGTCTCTTCTACATCAACATGTGTCCCCTCTTCTTCATGTCTTCTTCTAACATCAACATGTGTCCCCTCTTCTTCATGTCTCTTCTACATCAACATGTGTCCCCTCTTCTTCCATGTCTCTTCTACATCAACATGTGTCCCTCTTCTTCATGTCTCTTCTACATCAACATGTGTCCCCTCTCTTCATGTCTCTTCTACATCAACATGCTGTCCCCCTCTTCTTCATGTCTCTTCTACATCAATGTGCCCCTTCTTCACTGTCTTTCTACATCAAACATTGTGTCCCCTCTTCTTCATGTCTCTTCTACATCAACATGTGTCCCCTCTTCTTCATGTCTCTTCTACATCAACATGTGTTCCCCTCTTCTTCATGTCTCTTCTACATCAACATGTGTCCCTCTCTTCTGTTCTCTAATGTCCCCTCTTCTTCATGTCTCTTCTACATCAACATGTGTCCCCTCTTCTTCATGTCTCTTCTACATCAACATGTGTCCCCTCTTCTTCATGTCTCTTCTACATCAACATGTGTCCCCTCTTCTTCATGTCTCTTCTACATCAACATGTGTCCCCTCTTCTTCATGTCTCTTCTACATCAACATGTGTCCCCTCTTCTTCATGTCTCTTCTACATCAACATGTGTCCCCTCTTCTTCATGTCTCTTCTACATTCAACATGTGTCCCCTCTGTGGAAAGAGACTCTGAAAGTTTCAGGAACAAAGATTCTCTCTCTTTTTGATCCATTTCTATAAAAACCTGTCTGAAAATGAGCTGATCAGATTTTGGCCACTTTATGATGTCATAACGATGTGTTGTCTTGAGTAACCATTAGCCAATCAGCAACAAGGTAACAACCCCCCCCCCCCCCCCCTTATCACCTGAATCTCCTCCTAGAGCACCATTGAGTTCTTTGTAACCAAATGTCTCTCAGAGGGGCGTGGGGAGGGGCTCCTTATTTTCATCTAAAGTAACAGACAGAGAATCAGCACTTTGGAAACAGGGCTGAAACAGAGGGGATTATGGGTAATGCTGCAATGATCTGTTTGGTAATTCAGCCAATCAGAGACAGGCTCTGTATATATCTGAGACCTGTGATATATTGATGAGAAACTGTATAATAGGAGACCTTTAAACAAAAAAAACAACCTTCTACACAGCAAAAAATGTAAATGGGATAAGCAGGTTGTCCGTAAATGTCCCAAACCCAAAGGCGTGAAAAGTCGATTCATCTTCATAATAAACGTTATTTATATATATTTATAGTGCTTTACAGAGTATGACGATAACAAGGTATAAACAAACAGAGTTATATATAAAACGTACAATTGCCCCAAATTATAAGCCAAAATAAAAAGACCTTTAATTTACTTTGAGGTTGTGTTCTAAGATCGAATGTTCCGTTTATTATGCGTACAAACGTGTCACAATCTCCCGAAAACATTTAGTAACCTGAAGTTATTTTTCATGGAAAACCTCTGAAAACAGACCATTTAATACCTTCTAAAGTGACTTCATGAGGAGGCTGGAGGTCTGCAGAGGGTACGCAAGAACTGCTGAAAACTTGGTTATGCATAATTCCTAAATAATGATATCCGATCGGTTTGATTAAAGCATGTAAATAAACAAAACACGTATCCATAGTTCAGTAAACTGCCTGAAACAGTCAGGTGTTGCAACAAATGAAGCTTAGCGCAAGTTCAACCAGGAAGACCGGCTTTCTCATTCATGTATACGTTATTACTCTCTCTCCTCTCAATAAGTGATAGGGGGCGTCACTCTTCAGTCTAACCAATCACTTCGCTCTATTTCCAAGAGCCTATCATAGCGCTCTGTCAAACCTTTTTAATCTGCTCTTTCCCCCTCTGACAGCTGTCATTCCAGGTGACTCGACGCAACCCTCCTCCCCCCCTTTTCTCCTCCCGTCCCGCTGAATCCAGGGTCAAGCTAAACCACTCCCCTTCAGACTGACCCCAACCATCCATTCACCACCACCAGTGTCTAGACCCCGGGGGGGTTTCTTCTTTCGTGTAACGTTAGAGGTCCAACTCGGTGTCGTGTAGCCATGCCCGCATCTCTGGTCCTCGGTCGAAGAGGCCGGCTTCCGAGGGTGGTCTATATAAGGGGCAGATGGTGATTATATGGACAGCGGTCTGCTCAGGGTCACCGCACTCGCATGCCGAACTGTCTGCCAAGCCCCACGTCTTCATCGATGTTTCAAAGCGACCGACCCCAGTTCGTAGACGGTTCAGAGTGGTCCACTGCCGGCGCGGTAGGTTGTCTCCTCCAATGGCGGGGGGGGGTTTCATCGGATCGGCTCTACCCTCCCGAATGATACTTCCTGCACAACGGGGCCTAAATCGCCAAAATTACCATTGCATTCATTTGTTCATCTGTGCAATAAATATGCATCACTCAAAACTGTCTCTCCTGATTGAAATACGCTAAGGATCACTTTTAGTGTGATCAAGAAGCAAGTATTGATGTTAAACGACGGAAGAAAAACTAGAAAATTGATGTATGGTTAAAACGTAGCTGAACACATGTAGAAAGAATAGGAAAAGTCACGTTAAATCTGTTTGTAAAGTAATAAACACTGATGGTAGAGCGCTGTTTTGTACTTGTTATTTTGCTACCAAAAATGTTTTTGTGCTGGGAGGGGTGAAGAAATATCCAAAGGTGGTTATAGAAATACAGTTATTGGGTTTTCTGGCAGGTTTTTACTGTAGTATTGTAATCTAACTGACTCTTGCGTTGTCACAATATGTCTTCAGTAACCCCTGCTACCTGAGGGACCAATATGTCCGCCGTTAACTCTCTCACTGAGCCTTCATTATCCATCTCGTCTAATATCCAAAAGGTCAAGTGTCGGTCTTTCCTCTCCCGTCGGTTTGATAGAATTCCTCGAGTCCTGGAATTCCTCCTAATCTCAACACAAACCTCGGCAGCATCTGACAGAAATCACTAATCCACTGCTAATCCCTAAATCTCCCGACTCCCCATGAATGCTGGAAGTCTACGACCAGGAAAACTGTCTCGCCTCAAACCCTCAAACTCCAAGAACCAGGAGGTGAGGTGTTGAACATGGGAGGATCGAGGTATCGAGTACTGAGAAAGATAATACTCCAGATATTTGGCCTCTTTGATTGATAACATGATGGTATTGAAGGTAAACGTGTACTTCTTAACAGAGACGGTAAGTAACTAAGTGCATTTACTCAAGTACAATTTAGAGATACTTGTACTTTAGTATTTCCATGTTATGCTACTTTGTACTTCTACTCCACTTCAATTCAGAGGTACATGGTGTACTTCTACTCCACTACATGTATTAATACCTTTAGTTACTTCACAGATGTGGATGAATGATGTGAAATCTAATCAAGTGTTGAATCAGACTTTAGTTCCACCTGGAGTAAATCCACAAGCTACCCTGCAGTATACAAAGTACTTCAAACTAGCTGCTCCTTCACCAGCTTTGAGAACACTTTCATGATCAATCATTATAAAACATATCATATATATTATTCTGAAATGGACCAATCTGCACAACGACTACTTTTACTGTCGCTACTTTCACTATATTTTGATGATAATACTTTTCTACTTTCACTTGAGGAACATTTTGAATGCAGGACTTTTACTGTAACAGAGTATTCCTACACTCTGGTACTTCTACTTTTACTCAAGTACAAGATCTGAGTACTTCTACTTTTACTCAAGCACACGATCTGAGTACTTCTACTTTTACTCCAGTACACGATCTGAGTACTTCTACTTTTACTCAAGTACAAGATCTGAGTACTTCTCCTTTTACTCAAGTACAAGATCTGAGTACTTCTACTTTTTACTCAAGTACAAGATCTGAGTACTTCTACTTTTACTCAAGTACAAGATCTGAGTACTTCTACTTTTACTAAAGTACAAGATCTGAGTACTTCTCCCACCTCTGCTTCATAAAGTAAGGCATCAAACATATTGTATTTTTATCAGAACAGAAACAGAGGTATCATTTGGCAGATATGTTTCCACTAAATGCAGTTTCTTGTTCCTGAGTTCCTGCCAAGACTCCACGAGGAAAGCTGCTAAACGGCATCCCCTCACCACTTCCCTTCCTA